AAAAAAAAAAAAAAAAAAAAAAAAAAAAAAAAAAAAAAAAAAAAAAGCACTGTTTAGAAGATTAAAAAAAAAAAAAAAAGCTGAACTGGAATTATGATGGAGGTGAGAAATGAATGCTTTTAAATTTTTTATTATTTCTAAGGGTGATTTGGCTGTATAACATGACTGTTGTGTAACACGAGAGTGCCTGGTGCTTACAGATCCCCTGGAACTGGAGTTGTGAGGGGTTGTTAGCTAGCATGTGGGTGCTGGGAATCGAATCTGGGTCCCTTGGAAAGGCAAACAGTGCTTTTAATCACAAGCCATCTCTTCATCCCACAGCAATATATTTTAAATAAGCTCCCTAGATAACTCTTAAGCATGACTTGGAAGTTTAATATGGAATGTATTAATTTTAATTGTAAGAGAAGAGACTACAAAGCTGAAATGTCTGTACAGTCAGGGTCAGCAAGGAGTTGTGAAGTCACACAGTCCTTTGGCCTCCTGGTGTTCCTCTGCCCCTCTGGTGTCTTGTTTTTGTGGCAAAGAAAAATCAGGTCAGGTTTGTGTGTGTGTGTGTGTGTATGTCTGTCTGTCTACATCTGTGTATCTGTGTTGGTTTTAGCTGGAGGCTGATGGTGGATTATAGGACTCTTGGGCTCTGTGAAAGCCTCCCTTCCCAGCACCTAGCTCCAGTCTCTTACTAAGGAGGTAACACTTTTTTTTTTTTCCCAGTAGATTTATAATACTGATATTAATATACTGCCTCATTGTCAATCTGCACCATTCCTGTTGGGGTGTGATGCCATCTCTTGACAGAGGTTCTGTGTATTTGCTGTTCCTCTGACTGCCAGCACTCACTGCTGCCCTGGAGCCCAGTGCCCAGCTGGTTGTTGCATACCCATTATGAGAATGACTCCTGAGTCATTGTTTGCCATGTTTGCACCCACTATCTCACATTGATTGAAATGATTTTGTAGCGTGGTGAGGACACTGCTGATTTGCTGGTGACTTGATGACAAGCTGTCCCTTGGCTTCTCACCCTCTTCTCTGGCCTCTGAGATTGAGAAGCTGGGTTTGCAAACCAGCTCATCCTCACGTCAAAGGAATAGTAAAACAAGGAACAAGGAGAGAGGGCTCAGGGGAGGATGTGTTTTAATTAAAATGATGCTTCCTAGTTTTCTCCTACAAACCCTTTTTCTTGCCTCACAGTGAACAAAAAAGTTCTCTTCGTGGAACAGAGAAAAATCCGCTCCCTCTGAGCAGAGGATTGAAAATGAATTTGATTCATAAACGAGAAGACCAAGGGTGAGCGCCGGTTCTAACTGCAGTGTGCACTGAAGACGAAACTACAGTGTGGTGAGATGAAGGCTAGTGTGAAGGAACAATGTGGAGAAAGAAAGTTCTTCACAGAGACCAGATATATCTGCTTTAATAGGCCTTAATAAAAAAATATCTAAATCTCCTGTGCTCTTGTCTCTTAGTGATATTTCCCCTCACTGTTTGAAACTTGAAAAAACAACCATCTATCCAAGAAATAACTATTGTCTCACATAAGAAAAGCCATGGTCTATGGTGAGACTTGAGTTCCTAGGCTGCTCCTGTGTCTGCACAGGAAGGTGCTCCTGGTAGTGCTGAAGGCATCACCCTGTGACAACAGGCGGAGAACAGGCAGCTGGGAGGGGGAGAAACATCTGCTCTGGTTTGTGTGATTGTCATTAGGAGCAGTGCCTTTGCTCCATAGTCTTTTTTATTTTTATTTTTTAGATTGATTTATTTATACATATGTGCACTTTATTTGCATGTGTGCCTGCATGACAGAAGAGAGCATCAGATTCCATTATGGATGGTTGTGAGCCACCGTGTGCTTGCTGGGAACTGAACTCAGAACCTCTGGAAGAGCAGGAACTGCTCTTAACCACCGAGCCATTTCTCTAGCCCTACTCCATAGTCTCATTTCCACCCTTTACTAGTTTTGGAGCAAATAAGAGACTTTTAAATACACATCAAACCCTTAACTGTGACTGTTAATAAAGGTGAAACAACATTAGCTTAATCATTCAGAAAACGCTTACAAAGTGGCAAACACGCCAAACACTTCTTTGTACTCTTTCCTCCTCCGGAGTCCGAGTATCAGAACGTCTTGACTCTCGGAGCCCCAGTCACTTCATGGACCTGGGGGTTAGTCACTCCACAGTCTTAAAGGCTCAGCAGAACATTAGTACAGCGGTTTATGGTTTGAGTTTTGAGATGAGGTCTTACTCTACTGTAGGCTGGCCTGGACCTCACTGTGCAGTCTAGACTGGTCATCGGCTCTTAGGACAGCAGAGGACCTGATCATCTGTATCTTTACAAAATACCTGAGAAAACGTAGTGTCTCCCCTGGTCACAGGGAACCAATGCTGTCCCAAAATAGCACGTGTCCCTTCCCATCTCTGCTTTACAGTGTGCATACAACACTAGGATTTGCTGCTCTCAAATAGTGGTACTGTTTATAGGATCCTGATGGTGAAATCTAATTCTAGTTGCTGTTGTGACTGTGAAATAGTGAAGGATCACTAAGTCAAAGATTGCTTTAGAAGTGGACATAATATTTATAAAGCAAGGACATTTTCTAGTCATTGTGAGCCATGAGTGGCCACGCCCATGCGCATTTTATTTCCAGATTATATTTATTGGGGGATAGCAGCAGTCAAAATAGAGCAGGAGGAAGGTCCTTTTTGTATGGATAAGAAGACTGTGTTCCTGTGGCCTGGACACTGACTGCAGCGATGAAATTGGATCTCTTGAGCATTTCTTCCAAGGACAAATTTGGGTAGTAAGCCAGGTAGAAGGCCAGTGCTCCCACAAAACTGTCACCAGCACCCTGCAATGGAAGCACAGTTATGAATACAAGTGTGCAGTCAAGCTGTGGCTCAGTGGTAGAGAACCTGCCCAGTACTTGGGAGGCTGTAGGTTCAAGCCTCAGTACCTGAACCAAACCAATCCTTTTAATTTTAAAATAGTTTCAGAGTCCAGAAAAGGAGCAAAGACACTCCAGGCCAGCTATGTTAACATCCAGATGTGGCACACTTACCATAACTGACGAAATAATGACAGTATTAACAGAACATCACGCTTTATTTGGATCTTACTAGTTTCTGCTCAGTGGCCCTTTTCTGTTCCTGTATCCCATGCAGGATGACATTTTACAGTCATGTTTCCACGCCTGTGGGTTATGACAGCTTTTGTATTTGTATCATCAGTGTTTTTGATGACAGCTCAAGAGATCAGCTACTTTGCAGACTGCCTCAGTCAGGAGAGATAGGGTCTCATTGTGTAACAGAGGGTAGCCTCAGCCTCGGTGTGGGATTACAGATGTGTAGCACCATGCCTGGCTATAGGATTTCTCTCTAAATTGTCACATCAAAGCAAGGATGTGTGCTGTGATGTGGCTGAGTGGCTTTTCTAAAGTCATTTTCCTTTTTTTTTTTTTTTTTTTTTCCATATACTCTCTATGCCAATTGCCAAGGATCCAATCCTCTATCCCTTCCCACTGAGGAGCATCTTTTATCGCTCAGTCCGGCTTCAAAGGCTCTTTAAGTAGCCAAGAATGACCCTGAACTCCCAATCCTCCATCCTCTACCTCTTGTGTGCTGGGATTGCAGGCATAAATCACACCACCAGGTTTATGTAGTGGTGCCAGGGACTGAACCTATGGCTTCATACATAATGGGCATTGTAACTGAATTATATCCCTCGCCAGACACTGCTCTTAAGTGGGTAGAGTTCCACTCTGAACTTACTATTCACATAAATTGGAGTTCTGCATTCAAAATTTGCCTCCCCTCACTTATTTAATCATTTGTATCAACATGAACTCATTCTTTGGGCTGTAACTAATATTGTTTTTGTTGCCCATTCATCCCAACATTGGCAACTGGGCTCTTTTCAGCTGCCTCCTGTGTGTATCTCTTACATGATCTCCATCATTTTGTTTTTTCTTGCTTGCTTTCTGGAACAAGATGCCCCAGGCTCATTTCTATATTCCCCTTTTAGCCCTAAAATTAGTCATGTCTCCATGAAAAAATGAATGCAAAGAGTAGTGAGAGCCATTCGGATGCTAGTCTCAAGCCAAATATAGGGAGAAGCAGCTTTGTTTCCATTCCCAGGGTTTGTGTTGGAGAAGGTCACAGAGGAACCAAACTACCCTACCAAGTCTGATCGTCAGTGCCTTCAGGGTGACGCCAAGTCATGTGTTCACGTGACCAATGTTTAAAACAAGTTCAAGCCCGAGTGTGGAGTCTCACTGGAAATTCTGGTGTTTGTTGCTCTCAGAGGCATTTTCCAGTGTCATCTCCACAACCAGTACTGACTCCTGAGGCCTAGTTTTCACAATTCTTGTGGCTGCTGTAACCACTGCAAGGAGCCCTGATGTGCAGTTGTTTCTGTCTCAGCTGAAACATCCAGTGAGCTGTGTGTCTGCCACAGTGATGGCCACTGAGAAGAGACACAGCCAGGCATGGTGGTGAAGAACTTTAACCCCAGGGTTTAATCAGTCGGCAAAAGCAGAAACTACGGTCTTAGGGCTAGCCTGGTCTACATAGTAACTTCACGGTTGGCCAGGACTACATAGTGAGACCTGGCTAAAAAGGGGTGTGCAGAACCCATGTGGAGTAAGTATTAAGCGGCATGGCCAGACTTCATAAGTGGTCTAGGGTGTGGTTTTATGAGTGATAGTCATGCAGCCCACAGCTGGTCTGGATCTTGTTATCTAGTCCAGGCTGGCCTGGACTTGTGATCCTCCTGTCTCAGCCTCACTCAGTTTACAGGGTTGTACTACCATGCCAAGTGTAATTAGGATAATTAGGAAACCTCCCTAGAGTTTTAATGTGGATTTCTAGGGAGAAGTCAGGCCTCACAGAACAAAGACATTGGGCAGGGGGGGTGAGCTCAGGAGTCCGGGAAGGTCGTTTCACCCTGTTCACAAAGGCAACATGGGCAATATGAAATTTGCCAAGGAGTCACAGTAGTGCAGGTGTAGATCCCTCCCTTGTCCTCTCCCATCCTCCCTTCCCCTCCCCTTTCCTTTTCCTCTTTTTCTGAGCTCCTAGGTGCTTTGCTAAGTTCATTCTTTCTAAAGGATGCAGGGGAGAGAATGACGTTCTCAGGACTCTTCAGGTTCCCAGCATAGCAGCAGGACACGGGAGGGTCTGAGGCCAGAGCCGCTGTGAGCTGAAGGATATACTGTGAAAACATGAAAAGCCAAGCATATTAGCTTACACCTGTAATCCCAGCACTCCAGAGGCTGAGGCAGGAGAGCCATTACCAGTTCAAGACCAACCTGGTCTACAATGAGTTCCATTCTAGCCAGGCCCAACTAGTGAGATTGTATCTCAGAAACAAAACAACAGCAGGATAGTGGCAGCTGGGCACACCTTTAATCCCAGCACTTGGGAGACAGGGGCAGGCCCTTTGCATTTGAGGCCAGCCTGGTCTACAGAGGAGTTCCAGGACAGCCAGGACTATACAGAGAAGCCCTATCTCAAACACCCAAAAACCAACCAACCAACTAAATAAAAATCTACCACCACCAAAACAAAACTAAATAAAAACCAAACCCCCAAATGACAACAACAAAGGAAACCCCTCCCCCCATAATCTGATAAATTAAAAATGTCTAGAAAATATGAAAATTTTATCTTAATTTGATTATTACACTATGCATGTATTGAATTTCAATAATATACTTCATGAAGATGTACAAATAGGCCTCAAAAAAGAATAGAAAGAAATACTGCATTGGTCACTACAAACATTGTGTTGACAACACTTGCATTGGTTTGTTTTACTACTGACAAAGCTGAGGAAACACTGGTAAATCTGCTGGAAGCATTATTTAGGTCACAGGGGTTTTCATACCTTAATTTCCCTTCCTTCCTCATGCCATGCACTGTGCCCTTGGAGACTCTAAAGGTACACTCTTCCTCTATCTAAAATCAGGGGTTTTCCACTAAGAATGCCAGGTATCCTCCCTGCAGAATTAATTCTTGGAAAATTAGGTAAGTAATAAGGCTACTGTGACACACTGAGCACAGAAAGGCCAAAGGGGACATTTCTCTGCTGCTTTACCAGGTGAGCATTGCCATGCTTCCAGAAGCAGACTATGGTGTTAAAAGAAAAACTAAATCAAATACAACAATGTCCACATGAATTAGGATGCAAAAGTATTACTTTTTAAGCAAGTGGAATACAGACATAGAAACGTGTGCATAGCCATTGCGACCAAGTAGACAATACCCAAGAATGAATGCAAGACTAAGAAAACACTTATTTTAAAATCAATATAAATACATTTTTAAAACTTTCTATTTGCACAATAGAAGGTATGGTTTGATTATCTGAGGGAGCGTTTATGAACGGATCTCTTATGGGCCTCACACTGGAGGAAGAGCAATGCTTTCCCCCTCATTCTGGGACCTGCCCTGGGTAGTCTGTTGTCACTTTTGTCAGTGTTGTTATGGAGTGCATAGCCAGTGTAGAGAGGCAAGGAAAAGAACAGGTGTGCAGATTGGAAAGAAGGAAAATTCTGTGACGATGGTGTAATGATTTTTGTAGAAATTTTAAGAAAATTGTATTTCTGGATAATAACAGTGAACAATAAGAAATGAAGATTACTAGCCTGGGAATGTTCAGTGCTTGTCCAGTACACATGAAACCCTGGGCTGGATCCCTAGTACCTCTGAAGCTGGAGCTGGTGGTACACGCCTGTAAAAAATCCCCGCACCTAGGAGTAGAGAGGTAGGAGGATCACCAGTTCAAGACCATCCTCAACTGTATGGTAAGTTATACTGTCGGCAACTTATTCTCAAACTGTTCATCTAAAACCAATCATGTTTGGTCTATTTCTAGCTCAGAGCTAGAGAAGAGCTAAGAGGATCTGTTCAAACATGAGGACCCGAGTTCAGGGTTCCAGAAACAGATAAAAGGCTGGCTGTGGCTGTGTGCCGCCTGTGATGGCCCTGTGTGGGTGAGCAGGCAGAGTCAGGAGGGCCGCCATGGCTTGCTGGCCCCCGTTTAGTGAAGATGCCGCCTCCAGGTGGAGAGGGGTGGAACAGAGCGCACACGGACCACACACGGTGTGCAGCATGCGCATGCAGAAGACGGAGCAGTGAAACAAAGGTGACAACTTTACCAGTGGGTGAAATGAAGGGTGTGCAGCAGAGCAGCAGTCTCCAAGTTGTCTTTATAAAATAGAAATTAAAGACTTGAAGGATTTTCAAAATCAAACCAGTCAAAACTCAAGCTCACTGTGACACTCTCCTGCTACGCAGGCCTGGCACTTGAACGCTGAGGGGACAGGAGAGAACACTTAGTGGCTCTGACTGACTACATGGGAGCTGAGGCTCAGGACCCTCAGGGCTGTTGGGATGGGACAGTGGCTAACGCTGACTGAGGCAGTCACCAACCCCACCTGGTTAAACCCTTCAGAGAGGTCAGGTAAGTCTCCACCTTTCCCTGTTGACTCTTCTGACTCTTCATTTGTAAAGTACTGTGGGCACACGGGTGGGCTGGGGAGATAGATGGCTGTTGGCAACGTGCTTGCCTTGCAAGCTTGAGGACTCACTGATTCCAGAAGCCACATAAAAGCCAGGCATGATGGTGTGCCCTTGCGATTCTAGTACTAGAGCGATGGAGACAGGCGGACCCTGGGGCTTGCTGGCCAGCCGGCCTACCCTGCTTGGTGAGTGGCAGGCTAATACACAAGGTCTATCTCAGAAATCAGGATGGGGGCTGGGGAGAGAACTCAGGAGGCGAGAGTGTGCTGTGAAAGCCCAAGGAGCTGGCCTGAAATCCACATGAAAGTTTGGCATGGCTGTACACTGG